GGGCTGGCTGGCATGTGGTGCTGGGGATCGAACCGCGGTCCCTGTGCTTTGCCAAGCTTGTTTCAAGTAGGTGCTTTAGACCACTGAGACATCTCTCCAGCCCACGTACAATGTATATTGATCTGTACTTCCTAGCAGTCTTTTCTGTATCACCACTCCTTTTTCTTCTTGCTTCTGGATATCCTGGTCTCTGAACATTGTACTACAGTCCACTATCTCACTGTACAGTAAGCACACAGCAGCACAACTATAACAATGTCCAGCAGACATGTAAACTGTTATTCTATAAATATAAACATTCTATAATTTTTTAATTTTTTTTTTATTTTAGGGAAGGATCTACACGGTGTTTATGGTCTCACTAATAGGTCAGACTCATAGTGATCCGCCTGTTTAGACTCCCAAGAGCTGGAACTGCAGGCATGTGTCACCACGCCATCTCTATGTTTTACTATGAGGTCTATTTGTATCTGGAAAGTTTACAACTTGAATGCTTTTAAGTCAGGGACTTACTATATTATTATGACCCTTATGATGGATGTCTTATCCTCTCTCTAAAGTCACATTCTTTGTTATATGAAATTATGTGTACACTAACAACTAATAACCAGGCAGACAAAGACAGAACTTAATTCCCAAAACAAAACACATCACCAAAAAAACAAAAAACAACAACAACAAAAAAAAAACCACCAAAAAAACAAAAACCAAAAACCACATCATAAGATGGTCTCCTAGGAGTTATACTGGTTATTTATTTATTTATTTATTTAGTATAGGTTCCTGCTATGTAGCTCAGACTTGTAGGGAATCTTCCTGGTTCAGCCTCCCCAGCACTGGGATTACAAGGTGTGTACCACCATGCCTGGTTTTGGTGGCTGGCTCAGTGGGCCTGGGTACCGGGGGATCAAGCAAAGGTCCTTGTGCTTGCCAGGTAGGTGCTTAGACCACTGAGCTATCTCCCCAGTCCCTCACACCCCTTTTGATACAGGGTCTTGCTACATAGTTCAGACTCATGGTGGTTTTTCTGCCTCAGCCTCCCCACAGCTGGGATTACAGGCATGTACCACCATGCCCAGAGTTTGGGGTCCAGCACAGCATGCAGTAACAGGGATCAAACTCAGGACTTCGCACTTGTCAAGCAGGCACTTCTGTCGTCAAGCTAGTTAGCTAGCTGTCTGTCTGTCTCAAATGGTTTGTCTTCTATTTTATTTTAATTTTTTTTTTGGCGGAACCAGGGATTCAACTCAGCCCTTTGCGCTTGCCAGGCAAGAGCTCATTCTACTGAGCCATCTCTCTGGCCCCTGTCTTCTATTTTATTTATTTATTTATTTATTTTTGTTTTTTTTTGGCAGAACCGGGGATTGAACTCAGGCCCTTGCGCTTGCCAGGGAAGCGCTTATTCCACTCAGCCATCTCCCTGGCCCCCTGTCTTCTATTTTATTTTATTTTTTTAAAATTTTATTTATTTGTGTGTGTGTGTGTGTGTGTGTGTGTGTGTGTGTGTGGCCAGCTCAGCCCACCAGGGGGCGGGGCTGGCTGGCATGTGGTGCTGGGGGATTGAACCGTGGTCCCTGTGCTTTGCTAAGCTTGTTCTAAGTAGGTGCTTTAGACCACTGAGCCATCTCACCAGTCCCCTTGTCTTCTATTTTAAAGAAAAGTACAACCAATAGTATCAAATTTCAAAACAAGATTGTAAGAGAGTAATGATGGTTACTACATTGTATACTGTTATCTTAAAATAGTTGCTCATGGGGCTGGGGAGATGGCTCAGTAGGATAAGTGCTTGACTGGCAAACGCAAGGATCTGAGTTCAATCCCCGGTTCCCCCCCCCCCCCCCAAAAAAAAAAGTTGCTCATATGTAACTTTTTTTTTTGGTACCAGGACTCAAACTCAAGACCTCATGCTTCCAGGTGGGCACTGTACCACTGAGCTAAATCCCCAGTCCTATACTGGTTCTTTTTTTTGGCAGAACTGGGGATTGAACTTAGACCCTTGTGCTTGAGCACTTATTTTACTGAACTATCTCCCCAGTCCCCCTATACTGGGTTCTTGGTATACATGAACCACTCTAGCCTTCCCAGAACCATGGGCACATGGTGACAGCCTTGACTGTGTCCCCCACATTCTTGCAGGGATAAAACATAACTTTGGGTCTAATCAAGACATTGGGACATCCCTCAACTGCAATTTTTTTTTTTTTTTTTTTTTTTTTTGAGAAAGAGTCTCACTATGCAGTTCAGGCTGGCCTTGAACTAATTTTGTAGTGCAGACTGGTCTTAAACTCGCAATGACCCTCCTGCCTCAGCCTTCTGAGTACTGGGATTACAGGTATGTGCCATCACACTTGGCTTCCTCACCCACAACTGCTTAAACGAAAAGTAAAAAGGAGATAATGTTTACTACCTGATACAGAGGATACATCCGATTCCAATCCACCAGCTTGTTGCTGATAAAACTGCTGGTAATCCTGTGAGTACTGAAGGAAAGTCTGCCATTAAAAACTATTCTCACATATTTTACAATCTAGAAGTTGAATGCTGGCCAAACAGACCTACCTGTGCATACTGAGCATAACCGTCTTGACCTGGTTGCAAGTAACTGTAGTCAACACTGCCTCCTTCACCACTTTGAGACTATAAAATGTCAAAAGAAAAGGGAGAAAAGACAAACTTAATGGATATCAAACTTAGTGGACATTTTTAGTAAAGAAGTTAGAACTACTCTCTGAAAATGTCCTTGCAGATTTCTACTACAAATACCAAAGAAGGGTCTGGGGATATAGCTCAGTGACATAAGCACCTGCCTGGCAAGTGCAAGATCCTGAGTTTGATCCCTGGTACCGGAAAAAACAAACAACAAAACAAAACAAAACAAAACAAATGCCAAAGAAGAGATCATCTCTGAATCTGGGCACCAAAACCATACCATCCTGAGCAAAAACAATGTCTCTCTTACCTGGGTAGATGACCATTGAGCAGCAGCAATGGCTGTACTAGCCACAGAGAAGGCGCTAACCCGATTGCCATCTGGGAGGACCAAGTCTCTGAAACCAAAGATCCAATCATGTCATTTTTTTTTTTCCCCCAGAGCCAGGGATTGAACTCAGGACCTTGCGCTTGCCAGGCAAGTGCTATTTCAACTGAGCTATCTCCCCAGCCTCCCAATCATGTCACTGTGTAACACTCAATATACCCCAAGTAGTGCACCATATTGCCAAAGGAGCAGAGATTTATGCTAGCTTTGTTAGGAGGTACCAATTGCCACCAAAGCCAACTTTTTTTTTTTTTTTTGCAGTACCAGGGATCAAACTCAAGACTCTGTGCTTGCCAGGCAGGCACTTATGCCCCTGAGCTATATCCCTAGCTAAGGGCAAATTTCTTTTTTTGTTTTTATTTTTTTGGCAGAAACAGGGGTTGAACTCAGGCCCTTGTGCTTACCAGGGAAGCGCTTATTCCACCGAGTCATCTCCCTGGCCCCTAAAGCCAATTTCATAGGGGAAGGTAAATTCATCAGCAAGTATCCCTGTAGTATCACTGCTCTATTTTGTAACTGCCACATAGCAAGGCACTTGGAAAACAGTTGTGCAAACACTGCCAAAGTCCAGACACTACAGTTTGCTTTTGTTTTTTTTTGGTATTTTATTAAGGGTCTATAGGGTCTCACTATGTAGATCGGACTCATAGTGATCCACCTGTTTTCAGCCTCCCAAGAGCTGGGATTACAGGTGCGCACCACCATGCCCAGTCTAGATGCTGTAGTTTGATTTTTTTTTTTTTTTTTTACAGAACCGGGGATTGAACTCAGGCCCTTACACTTTCCAGGCAAGCACTTATTCTACTGAGCTATCTCCCCGGCCCTGCAGTTTGAAATGACAATGAAGTTACTTACTTTCTGGCACTTTTTGCAAAATCAACCCCAATGGTTTTCCCATCAATCTTCAAAGGAGGATGAAGACTCTGTAATATCTGAAGAAGCTGAGAAGCATCCTGAAAGACAAAACAAACCAATTTGTCAGGTAATAAAAAATTTTCTCCCTATCTATTCAAGAAATACAGCTATTTTTAAAAAAAGCAATAATTTCTTACTGTATTTGCATATATGAAACTTTGAGAAAAGTAGTACTTCCAGGATGTGAAGAAATCCACTCTTACTATACAGAGGACTGCAAGTTCAAGTACAGTCTGGGCAATTTAGTGACTGAACAAGATCATCTTAAAAATTCAAAAATTTGGGGGCCTGCCCATTAGCTCAGTTGTTTAAGTGCCTAAACAAAGCACTCAAGCTCAAGCTGCTGTGGTTCGAACCCAGATACAGCAAACCAGAAATACCCTAAGGCATCTTCTGGCCTCCAAAAAAAAAAAAATCGAAAATGTAAAAGGCCTGGTGATATGATTCAATGCAAAGCCTCAGTAACCAGCCCCAAAATAAAACACCCCCCTCACACACAATGTAAAACAAAGCAGGAATGAGTAAACTGGCTCAAACTCCAGCTCTACCAGTTCTCTAGAACTGCATAAATTTTCAGAACTCATCAAAGAAGTTAGTCCTAGGGACTGGGGAGATGCCTCAGTGGAATGAGAGCTTCCCTGGCAAGTGCAAAGGCCTGAGTTCAATCCCAGGTTCCATTAAAAAAAAAAAAAAAAAGGGGGCCGGGGAGATGGCTCGGTAGAATAAGCGCTTCCCTGGCAAGCACAAGGGTCTGAGTTCAATCCCCGGTTCCGCAAAAAAATTAAAATAAAATAAAATAAAAGTTAGTCCTAAAAGCTGGGTACGGTGGTACACTCCTATTCTCTGTCCAAGCACTTAACATGCTGAGGCAGGGACGAGGGGAAATTTGAGACCAGCCTGAGCTACACACAAGTTCAAAGCCAGCCTGGACTACACAGCAAAACCATGTCTCAATATCACCCCACAACCAAAAAAAAAAAAAAAACAAAAACAAAACCCAACAACTACAAAAACCGATCCAGTAACTTAACATTGCAATGTGTCATTATGGAGCCTTTAACTTCGGGCTCCAGAAGTCTCTTACATAATATCAAAATAGGATAAACTACAATTCTCTTAAAATTTTTTTCAGGCCAGGGAGATGGCTCAGTAGAATAAGTGCTTTGCTGGCAACCGCAAGGACATGCATTCAATCCCCAGTTCCACAAACAAAAATAAATAAATAAAATAAAAATAATTTGTTTTTGTCTTTTGGTGCTAGTGACCAAACTTGAGGCCTCAAACATATAAGCATGTCCTCTAACCATTGAGCTTAATCCTCAGCCCCATTGCTGTTTCTTTAAAAGGAAAGATTTAACAAGAACCTCACCATTGCAGAAGACAGCTGCACAAATGCAAAGCCTCTGTTCTGCTGGGTTTGCTTGTCTTTTATGAGACGAATATTATTGACAGCTAAGGATGCGTAGGGAGACAGCGCTGTCATTATGGAATCCACTACAGTATGTGGAGCTATGTTCCGAAGAATGATTG